ACTATTCATGCAATACTCTGCCTTGCCATGTCTCTTCATTGGTCTTTCATGTAGGTCAATTTGTTCAATCCAGTAATTGTCAATAAAGATTGTCAATCATCCAGATCATGGTTGTCTTGGACTTTCTTGGGGATTTTTTATATTGCTTCTCATCTAAGAAGTTTCTTCAGCCCTAACTAACTGACAACTGCAAAATCTTCTTGGATGAGAAGCAAAATGTTTTCAAAAAGAAAAAAAACAACAAGAAGACAGTCTAGTTTTTTTTTTTTTTTTTTTTTTAAAGCACCTTTATAATTGGTAAACTTTCATGGTACACTAGCTTCAATGCATTTTCTTCACTGTCCATCAGTGAAGGGCATTCTTCCAATGCCCCTTTTTCTTGGTGTACAGGTAGTCCTTGACTTATGACCACATCTGAGCCCAAAATTTCTGTTGCTAAGCAAGACAGATTTTAAATGAGTTTTGCCCCCATTTTATGCCCTCTCTTGCCACAATTGTTAGGTGAATCACTACAGTTGTTAAGTGAATCTTGTTTTCCCATTGACTTTGCTTGTCAGAAGGTCACAAAAGGGGAGTACAAGGTCTGGAAACAATCATCATCAATATGAATCAGTTGCCAACCACCTGAACTTTGACATATGACCATTGGGATGCTGCAAAGGTTGTATGTGTGAAAAATAGTCATAAATCACTTTTTTCAGTGCTTTTATAATCTTGAATGGTTACTAAATGAACTGTTGCAAGTCAAGGACTTTCTATATTTACAACATTTCATGCCTACCTATGCTCTTTGGTAAGTTGAGTTTCTCACTGCTGCATGGATGAAGAACACAATTCATTCTAATCCATTTTTTCAATCCAAGGCTTTTAGTTCTGCTTGAGCCCATTCCATTATTCTAATTGTGTATTTAATGACTGGAAATGTACAGATGTTAATTGCCTTGATGGTATTCAACCAACTTTTATTTTATTGGTCCTATAGAACTATGGCTCTGGTTGTTCAGCCAAGACCCGAAGTGGACATATGTGTAGCCATTTTTAATTGTAGTCATTTCTTATGCATATTTTTTTCAATATGCTGTATGGGGATTAACGGTGCTTCAAGCTCACCACATCTGGTAGCAAGAAGGGAGGTAGGAGAGATAAAGGGATTGTTATGGCTAGGTGGCATTCTTTCCCGTGAGAAAAGTCCAATTTGAGAATAGATTAATATATATTATAAAATTACTGCTAATATACTCAAGAAAGTTAAGTACTTTCTTCAGTAACTTATAACTCCTCCAGCTATATATATTAGATATGACTGGAATACAATATTGCACTAGTGAATTTATCAACATTTCATTGTGCAACTAAATTGAAGAATTATAATATGCACATCAGAGCGCTTTTAAAAAGTTTAACTTCTGGAAAACCTATATATAGTATCATTCCCAGAACATTAATTTTTATGGATGTTGCTGAGAAAGGGAAAGTTCTGGAGCATTAGGACTTCCACATCCATTGTTAATAACAGTGTAATTTGTTTAATAAAAACCATTCTAAATCTAATGTGTTGTATGGTGGCACTTTTGCATAATATCATTATGAAAGAAACTTCTTTTCAAATTTAATGAGTGGAATTTGGTAATCCAAGAATAGATTGGTAATGAGTGATACCATAATTGTATGCATAAAATTAGAATTGGGAACCATTGTTTTTTATCTGAATTTTTTTTTAGTATGTTCAATTTTTCTGGACATTTTGTAGTCATGTTACATTATATTATTAAATATTCATTATTTTCCATTGTGTATTTCTGTACAGTATGTAAAAATTTTTTGGGGGGAGGGTCTCATTTGTTTAGAAAAAATGAAGCCTTGGATGTGCTTGGTTAGAAGCAGGAAAACATTTTGAATGTGGGATAATAGTTAGTGTCCTATTATAATACTAGGATTTCAGTGCTAAAATATTCTTGTTGTTATTTACACTTGTTAGATACATATATAATCTGTGGATTACCAAGCAACTAAAATAAACATTTTCAGTTTATTTCACTTAGTCATTTAAAAATTGATGTGGATTTTAGTATTATTTTAACTATAGTTAAAATAAGAGAATTAACATTCTCAGTTAATCTCTCAATCTAGCAATATAACATAGAATTTACATTTCTATATTTATTTTGGTGTTCTTTCAAACCCAAAAATCTCACCTCCTGTGAGAAAGTAGGTAACAGTAATGAAACAACATGGAATATCTAAGTACACTGTGGTAGAAGCTACAGTAAGCTTTTTCTTTTTAATTCTTTTTTCTTCTTTAAATTCTTCTTGAAAAAGAATCTGTTATTATGGCACATTATTGTATTGGAGTAATGTTATATAATACTAAGTTAAAGGTTCTCCGCGCACATTTGTGCTAGTTGTTCCCAACTTTAGGGGGCGGTGTTTATCTCCATTTCAAAGCCAAAGAGCCAGCACTGTCTGAAGACATCTCGGTGGTCATATGGCTGGCATGACTTAATGCCAAAGGCGCATGGAACTCTGTTACCTTCCCACTAAAGGTGGTTCCTATTTTTCTACTTGCATTTTTCATGCTTTCAAACTGCTAGGTTGGCAGAACCTGGGACAAGTAACGGGAGTTCACTCCATTACGTGGTGCTAGGGATTTGAACCACCAAATTGCTGACCTTTCTGATCGACAAGCTCAGCATCTTAGCCATTGAGCCACCACGTCCCTTATATAATACTAATGTAATAATAAAATAAATAACCCCTTAACACATACCTTGGAGAATGAAAGTTTCAATTTTTTAAATTGCCCTTTTATATTTAATAAATATTGCAAAGGATAGACAATGAAAATTCAATGATGTAATATGTGAACCAAGCTAGACCATTGACTGTTAGCTTAGATAAAATGAAATATTACTTTTTTTTAGGCTAATATTAGAATTTTATTGTGTTTTCTAGTACAGTAATACAGGAAACTCACAGAACTATTTCGTGGGATTAGAATAAGAAAGGAGCATTTTGCAATGGGTATCTGTGAGGCTTAGTTATGTACTGCCAGCAGAAAGGAGGCAGGTGTCCCTTTTACAAGTGGGAGGTAAGTCTTCAGTAGTAGGACCACCGGGTGGAGTTTCTTCCTGAAGCTGCTGGACCTCCTTGTCACAACTTTCCAAGCACCGCTTCTTCCATTGTTCTCTCTTAGTAAAGTAATCTGGGTACATTGCTTTCTCAGATGGATGCTATATTTTTAGGATCCATTCAGGTGACTTATAGCACTTGTATCTCTCATAGCCTGTGCCACCTGGAAAGTCGGGAAAGATGTACAGCTGAGGATGTTGCCTTTCCCAAAATTCTTCGGCGGCCATCAAGAACTTGGTTGCTTTAACCATGTCTTTTTCATCCTTGTGCTCATCAAATCTTGCTCTCATCAGACAGGTGTAGTATCTATACCTATCCCGGTAGACACACCAGGATTCAAGGTGCCGCATGGCTTGCTTGTAGCAGCACCTTCTGCTGATACGACAGGTAGCCCACCATTGAAATATGACTTTTCAAAGGAGGAAAAAAAGGGAAGAGATTGCTGAAGTGATGGGCATCAGGAGAAGTTACCTGAACTTCAGGTACAAAAGTTTATGGGGGTCCATCTGACTATTTAAGGGAGATAAGAGTTTTGAATGATTTTAGTAAACCTCTTAATTATTTGAGTATATATCCACCTGTGTTTTGAGATAGTTGTACAACACTGAGCAGTAATATCTGATTGTAATTGATTGCATTAGACTATGTACTGGATTTTCTGTAAAAATATGTCTATTATCCATCAAATTTATTTATATGCCAAGAACCCAGTCCTAAAATTAAACTTGATAATACAAGTGCCCTGGAGAGAATATTTTTTTCTGAGTCTTGTATGTGAAATAGCTTGGTTGTCTTATAATACTTATATTTTGACCCTGCTAGATAGGTACACATGCCCCTTCATTTCAGGTAGCAAAATATTTAAGGACAATCATGAACTAACATTAAAATCAAGGTTTCCCTTAATATGAACAAAATAATAAAAATAATTATCACTCACAAAAATTGTCTATTTATTTATTTATTGAACAATACTGGCAGATTCAAAGACTCTATTATTACCAATTTATTATTGCCATCAGTAATAATAAAACATCAGCATAATGAAACAATCCCCAGCATAAATTTTACAATCACAATAAATTTCTAAAATTAAAGAAATTATTATTTAACAATTTTAATAGTTTTAACATCATTTTATTTAAACAAATATTTTTTTTCAAATTGCTTTTTTGACTGGACTCTTTCATCTGAACATTGCCTTGGTAGCAGTTTTTTTGTCTTTCAAGGCCATTCACTCTCTCCTCTACAAATGCCTACCTTCTTGAAGAAAAATTCTCAATAAACCTTAAAAAATGTCAAGTCTTCCATCAGGCACATGGGATATGACTTCCTAACCAGCCACCACTCTTGTAGAGTTTAAATATGGCAGCAATGTGTACATGAACAAAATAACGACTCCACTATGTACTAATGTCAATGTACACCATCTTCAGATGAATGTCTCATCTGCTTCAAGGGAAATACAAGATGTGATATGTTATTATTAATAACTATTATTAATATTATTAATATTTTAATATATAATAATAGATTATTATATCTATTATATGTGTTGGTCCAAAATCATGGGCAACAAGCCCATGTTTGCCATAGATGCTGTGAGATTCCAAGCCCAAATGAATTAGTCACCTAAGTCATGGAGAATGAAATCCTTCAGCATTGTTGCCTGGAAGACTTCAAAACCAGCTGAACTATGAATTCCAGGAACCCATTTAGTTAAATGTGTATGTAACACATATAACAACATCAAAAGGCTTCATTTTAACTGTTTACAAGTGTATAAGAGTAGCAATATTTCAATAATGCATTAGGATATAGAATTACAATAAGGATAAGGCTGTCATTGTTCCATTGTATTTTCATTGGAATTATTCATTTTTCTTGTTACGAAACCGTGCCAACAGACCACTTCTTATACATCCTGGTTGTTTTTGGTTTTTTTCTATTAAAGTCTGTAAACCATTTTGTGCCTATTAGAAGAAGAAAACACAGATGTAAATTTCTCTTGATTCCTGAATGCTTTTGCTTAATGATAATCACATATAGATCAGTTTACCTTTTTCACCAGCTCATCAACAGTTGTGTTTGGATCATATGGTATGGGCTTTCCAATATGTGTACGCCATTTCACTGGAAACCCGCCATACAAAATGATTATTGGCCATCGAAGATATTCATATAAGATTTTAAGTAGTTCTATATGATGAGAAAATTGCATGGTAAGTAAATAAGAGGTTAGGTTCAGATGAACAGCATTCTGAAGTTAAACTATATGATTTTATGGTTTTATTGTCTTTTATGGTTTCTACTTTGTTAAAATTTTCTTCAATAAAAATATTTTAAAAGGTGATGTAAAATTACAAAGGTTCCTAAATTATCAATGCCTATTATATCCTTGATAACAACTATTAAATCATCATTCTATATCATTCTATGTTCAGCATACAATATAACTGTGTATATGAAAGCATCTCTTTTTGTTTTTATTATTTTTTTTCATCTGGAATGTCGGAAACAAATACAGAGAGACTTAAGGCTATCTGTCTACTACTGATACATTAATTCTCAAAACAGAAGAGAATAAAACCAAATTTATGATGGTGGCCAAGTAGCAAAAGAGAGTTTTGCTATTTGGCCCAGATTCAGAGACTATCCTTTTTTTGGGAGAGTTTCGAGAAAAAAATCCACCAGTGAGGTCCTTGCAGATAAGCAGTTAAGTGACTCCTTGGTAGTGCTACTGATTGCTCCAGTTTAAACTTCCGTATTTCCTTTCTCCTGATCACATGACCAGGGTGAAATTCTATGCTTCACAGTGCTACATTTACAAAAAAATTTACATAAGGAGAGAGCAATAACAGACACAATCATAAAAGCATCCCCCTTATACACACAGACATATTTCTGCAATGGAGTTTGTTCTGCGCATGCACAGAACCAAAAATCAAGATGGCATCACTGACAATAGAACTGATTCAGGTGTGTGGGGGGCCGAGTTACTACCTATTCACCCGAACCGGTCCGAACCAGTAGAAACCCACCTTTGACCCAGCCTAAATTACATCTTCACGCAAACACACAGACACAGAAGCAAAATATGCACTTAATACAACCATAGCTACCAGCACATCTTGTTAGTTTACTACACAGATAACTTCAGTAGCTATGTTTCTAAAGAATTAGAAAAATTTCCAAGGATGTTCTTCAGGCTTCCCCTGCCTTGTTTAGTGAGCATATTTCAAATAATAAGCTATTTAAAATTTGGGTTCTTAGACTGCATACAATACAAATAGCAACATAATCTAGAAATACGCAGTTTTCCAGTAAAACAAGTTCAAGCAGAAAAAAAATGTTGGTTGTGGAATAATATCAGAAATATTATGTATATGCTGCATTGTACTAGTCAGCTTTAACCTCAGAGGATGGGTGAACTTGTGAGATAGTTCTACTATTACTAACATCCCTTTGTTTGTCATTTATTTGTTTTATGTTTTATAACTTTTAATTTTTATATTATAATTGCATGAGTCAGTTGCTTGTGAGATGAAGGGTTAAATTAGAAAAAAAATAACTGGATACTAATGTTTTAATTTTTGTTACTGATAATAAGGAAAGTGTATTTATAATGATTTTAGATATTTATTGTTCCAGTCTTGGGGTACACCACCCAGACTTACTTGCATTTGAGATGGGTGGCTAAAATAAATATTTGAGTGTTTAGGAACATTGACGTAGTTTATTTTTTAGAAAAACAGATTATAAATTTAGAAAACATGTAGTATGTTTAACTTACTTATTCTTCCAAATGTCCTATACCCCTCACGACCATTCTCTGTAAACATTGGAATTATGGGCTAGGGAAAAAGAAGCAAATAAGCAAATATCAACTTCATTTACTGAAAATATTTCATTTTAATAACTGGTAATTTAAAAAACGTCATTTGATTCTAAATATATAGCCTTTCCTTAATTACTGTAGCAGCTTCCTCATGTTCTTTATTTACAAAATTATTAAATGTATATCTCATCTTCCTGCCAGGAACCTAAAGTGACCTACATATAGAATCCCCTCCTTTGATTCTCTCCTTGTTTTTTGGGCCACTCAAATTCTCTTAGCCCAACCCACCTCACAGGATTGTGGTTGAGGGGAGAAGGTATGTTGGATATGTTGCCTTGAGTTATTTGTAAAAATAATAAGGGTGGGATACAAATTAAATAATAAAGCAACTGTCAGGGAATTAATAAAAATACAATCTGATGGATGTTGTGGAATATACAGTGTGATTTCTCCATGTACAAGCATGGTGGGCAGTGGTTAGAATGGAGTACTGCAGGCTAACTCTGCCCAAAGCCAGGACTTAGATTCTGATTGACTCAGTCTTCTATTCTTCCACGATCAATAAAATGAGAATCCAGATTGTTGGGGGCAAATATGCTGAATCTGTAAACCACTTATAGAGTTCTGTAAATGAACTATGATACAGTATGTAAGTCTATATGTCATTCCTATTGCTAGGTATTTGATAAGACTTACCACTCTTGCTTCTAAAGCAACTTTGGCAAAACCTTGGCGTTTACCCCATAAAATGTTATAGGTTTCATCACTAAAGATGGCTTCTCGTGTTCCTCCTGGTGAAATAGCCACCCAATATCCACTCTTCAGGGCACGAAGACATTCTTCCTTTGAACCAGTTATCATTTTCAAATTATTGCCAAGCATTTTCAAGCCTGAAGGAAAGAAATAAAATGAATTAAAAAATAAAATTAAAAACCTTTTTGAGAGCAGAATGCTGAACAATGTAATAAGAAAGTACATTTTTTGAAAGACTAAATTGCTTTATTTCTGAAATAAAGCAATCAGCAATACTAATTTATTTTCTTAACTTTGTCAGTGATGGTCAACATGTTTTAGCTGGGAAGTAAATGAGAAACCATCTAGCTGGCATACAAGAAATAAGATCTAAGAATTGTTTTATTTCAAATTGAATTGTTTTCATTTTGAACAGTAAGTCATTTAGCAATGACAATAGCAATAGCAACATGCTATTTATTTGGAAAAATAAATAAATAAAAAACTTTTAAAAAAATAAATAGCAACAAGCATTATATTTTAGTTTCTGATAACATGAGCTATTTTGCTGAATTGTATTTTAAAGTAACTCTGTAACATATATATTTAGAAGACATAATGATTAGAAGGTAGAACTCTTCAGTTGTAATCTATTGTGAAATTTCCTCTACTCTAAAGTTTTCAAACCATTATGTTATAGAAAAGTATAACCACATATACATATAGTAATATATCATGTGTTATAATATAATTATGTGTGTATGGAATGGATGTGTATATAGATCTTTTCAGACAGCTAAAAAGAGACTTCTCTCTTAGTACTGGCCTATGCATGCTGAAAGTCTTCCAGAAGACATGGCTTCATGAAGGTGGCTGAAGCAACATATCTTGGGGGCAATTCCCTAGCTCTCAGGGAGAAGGTTGAGAGGAACCCTAACCCCAACCTTTAGCATTTACCTCCGATTAATTTCATACCACCTAAATTGTTTTATCAAGGCAAATTTGATATTGCCTTTCTTTCAAGATAACAAATAAAATCATTTTCATAGCCTCAGTTGCTTGCTCAGTGTGAAAATATATTACAGAATATACCAAATCCCCAAAATACTTTAAGCCTGAACTACCTCAAATAAGTTTTAGAATAAAATAAAGCAGAAGGACAATATATTGTCAACTCCTTAGGCAGACCATATATCTATAAATGCAATGATACAAATAAGTTTTGCATTTTATTGCTTAAATTGCTTACCTGGCAACTTAAAGACAAAATGATCGACCACTGTATAGCAACACAATTTGTTCTTCAGGAAAAAGATCCTTGCTAGAAAGAAAATATAATCTATAGGAAGTGTAGCATGATAATAAATAATAAGGCCTGGTCCATCTGGTAGATTTTCTACTCCATGTAATTCATACCCTGTTTTTAATACAAAACAGAACAGAATATTGTCATTCATATAATCAAATGTATCATAAGACTTTATTATACCAAGAGGTTCCAAAGTATCTATAGATAATGATTATGCTTGATGTATTATTAGATCACAGTAGTCTCTACTTCTATTAAAATAGCATATTATATTGTCTGATAGAATTATTAAATTGTGTATCACGATTTTTATGGAGAACAGGGAATTGGATAATTTAATGACCTAAACTACTTCCGCTTGCCAAATAAGTAACTCTAAGTATCTCTACTGTTTTTGTTTTTTTAATTAAAAACACACAAATAAGTTATTAGACTTTTGCTGATTAATAAGGACAATTCAAAATTTTGACATTTATTAATAGGAAAAGCTTCACTTGTTTGCATGGCATGCTTGCTGGCATGCCATGGCCCAGTGCTGGTCCATGGAGGTGGGTTGGGGACAGGGGTGGGTTCTGGCTGCTGCTACTGCCAGTTCGCCCAGGAATGCACTGCAAGCATACACACGCACATGCACTTGATATGTGCGATGCACGCATGCACAGTAATAAAAAAAGCTTCTGCACATGTGCAGAATCACATGTGCATGCGTGGCAGGCCAAGTTACTACCTACTTGGCTGAACTGGTCCAAACTGGTAGGAACCCACCCCTGGTTGGGGACCCCTGCTCTAATGCAAGAATAATTAATTCTGCAGTTTCAGTTTGATCAGTGACAGAAGAGCAAGCTGCTCATATGAGTATTTCTTTTATAAAAAACCATGTCCATGTTGTATTATATATTGTATAGATAATAGAAATATGTACATTTTTACTCTAAATAAACAAGCCAGTACCTCGTTATTACCATTCAATTAAATCACAGTATCCAGACTAAGATCTCCTGAATAACATGTAATTAATACCAGAATATGTTGTGCTAAATATTTTTAGTAATGATTATAGCTTTGCTGAAGTTGTAGCTCAGGACAGTAGAAACTAGTTAATGCAGTAGATCATCTAATTAGTAAGTCATTTAAATGTAATATTTAAATACGGGTAGTGAACATGTAGACATATTGCAGAACTTAAAGCAGAATTCTCTGAATTCAAATCCCAGTATTCATATTTCAGTGAATTTAAGAAATGGCTGATGGCAAATACAAATATCAGAAATAGGACCCTTTTCCCAGAACAAACAAACTCAAAACAATAAACATTTCTTACCATGCCATATTCTTCCAAAGTAGTCCCAGAGATATCCCAAAATAAAATAGTAGCTTCTTTGGGCATCTTCTTTAGCTTTACCAGACATCTCATAGACCAGGACAATGAAAACAGATAGATAGATATAGAAAATAATCCAAAGTGGAACTGCAAATAATGCCACTACAGGCCATAAGACTGTGGGAATAAAATATTTCTCCAAGCTCAAGAGAAGCCATTCTTCATATATGTATGGCAGACTTATTGTGGAGTTCATAAGTACTGGTGTGAAATGTGAAGTTTATTCTCTGATGAGAAAGGGAAAAAATATCAAAGAACAATATTAGAATAACAATACTCAACATAAATATTGAGCTGCCACAAATCTTGCAATATGAAGTTTAGGAATATTATGTCATGTGTTGCCTTCCTTCCTGGAAAATGAAAGCAATTATCTGTGAGAATGGTTGAAATCTTGCAAGTGCAATTTCTCAAGATCTCAGTGCTTCTTTATATAATTTCAAATTTTCATTATTTTGCAAGCTTTCAATTAAATTGGACAGTACATAGGGATAAAAAAATAGTAATAGTGATCTAAGCTGAGCTACTCCAAAAACACTCACAACTATGGGCCAGATACCTACTACTATATATTTGGTCCCTGTCCTAAAGGGCTAATTAAATTAATCTAGAGAATAAAGTGGCTTGCATTTTACGGGATTGTATCTGAAAGTTAGGAGTAGATTTTGGGAGATTTGACTATAATTTTAGATAAGTACTGTGCTAATACATATGCATATTAAGACAATTTTTAAAAATCTAATGCTGGTTATGAAATATATTAGGACAGTCAGACATGGACTTCAAAGTATAAATTGATTTGCTTACATTTTATTTCCTTAAATAGTAAGCACTGAAAAATCATTAATTCATACTCATATATCATGTTTCAATTTTCTTGTTAATTACTTATGTTACATTACATTATACAATTAAAGAGCATTAAACAACATTAACTTGATCTTAGATAACTGAGGAGGAAAATACTCAGGATAACATGCACAAAACCTTAAATCCATAAGTGTTAGCAATCAGGTATTTGATTAGTTTGTATTTATAAATATGTAGCCAAGAGCGAAAGCTAAATATTGATGTTTCTTTAATTAGCAATTAATTTCTGCTATCATATTTGTTCATAATTGGTTCAATAATATTAAGATCAGAATACATTAAACTATGTAGCTGAACTTTGAATTATATGCTACAAACAAAAGATATCAGTTTTTTTCATGGCAACTCAAAATATAAACTTACAGTATATGGGAAAATAATACTGTGTATAACAGCTTTCTTCCACTCATTGAAGACCTTTATTGAAGTCAGAATGGAGAAAGAGGCAAATTCCTAACTGGAATGCTGTTGTCAGACTTTAAAAAAGCTGAATGAGAAATTGTCCAATGAAATAAGTCACATGTTGATGGTGAAAACATTTCCCCATTTTTCTCCATACATTTTAACTACATCAGTAATTCTGAAAACACACTTGCAAATTATTTACTTAAAAAAAAACTTTCCCAGGTTCACCATAATGTTTACAATCCTTTCCACCAAATTGTACAATTTTATCCACTTTTGTAAAATGCAAGAGGGACAATACCAATTGATATATATTTCATTAAGGATGGAATAATTGTTGTTATATTTACTAGCTATACACTTACTTACTTACTTACTTACTTACTTACTTACTTACTTACTTACTGGACTAGCAGTGATAATGTTACCTAGTTTGGGTAATGAAACATCTGCAAGAATATTAGAATTTTAGCAATCTCATTACTTTGTTCATTTTAAGATTACTTATTTATTGCTTATTATAATCTTGTTATCTTAAACACTATTATGGTTCAAAACTTCAACATAACAATTTAAAAATATTACCAAAATCTGGGTAGGTGATTATTGTCCTCTTCTTTTTCAAAGCCTTTTAAGTGGATTAACTTGTAAGAGCTGTCCAAGCTTGAAATCTTTTATTTGTTAATGGGTTTACACTTTTGTTTCTTCTTTTGTTCATCTGTCATATGTTGAGATATTTCTGCTGACTGTATCTTTTGAGTTTAAAACTATCTGGCTGTAGGTGTGGTTTACGCCTCTAATTATTGTTTAACAACCATATCACTTCCCTTGGCTGCAAGAAGATAGTTATCTATTAATGGTCTCCCACAATTCCTTGGATTGTTGCTCTTTTTGTGCTGTGACTTCATTCTTCTGTATACAGATTACGAACATTTTATGTAATTTCTGAAACATCATATACAAAGAAATATTTACATAAATATGCATTTTCTATAAACTCCTCCAAAGAGAGTGAATTTTGGAACTTCAATTTATTTGCAATTTCAAAATTTAATTTTATTTCTATAAGGTTTTCAAATTCACTTTAATAGACCATTTTGTAGAAAGGGTTAGTGGTTACACTAAGGTGACCAGATTTTCAGATTGGTAAAGAGGGACACCTTTGACCGGGGCGGGGGGGGGGGGGGGGCTTGATTAAAAATTTTATACTGAGCAACAAAATTTTTCATACAATGCAAAAATAGTATTGTAATATTTTTTTATTATTTCAACATAACTACAATTTACAAATATAAATTGTAACTGTTGCCAAATGTCCAAATTTTTATCGCGTGACCATGAGGATGCTGCAACGGTCGCTAAGTGTGAAAGTG